CAGGTTCACAGGATTCTCCTGCCTCAGCTTCCCCAGTAGCTGGGATTACAGGTGCACACCACCACACCCGGCTAATTTTTCATATTTTTGGTAGAGACAGGGTTTCACTATGTTGGCCATACTGAACTCCTGACCTCATGATTTGCCCACCTTGGCCTTCCAAAGTGCTGGGATTTCAGGCGTGAGCCACTGCGCCAGCCAGGGATACTTCTTAGATGAGTTTGTAGCAGTGTACCCAAAACAACTACTGGTTGACAGCAAACAGAGTAGGCTGTCATTCTCCAGGATCCTTGTGATTTCTGCAGGGGTCACGCTGGTAAATTAAACAAAAATGCTGGTAACCACCACTTGCATCACTTGAATCCTTAAAAGTGGCACTTATCTCTGCCATTCCACTCTGGGATAATTGTTTTATAATCGTGGTAGGGGATGGGGCAGTTTCAGGTTTCTGTTTGGCTTTTTCCATTTTATCTAACTCTACAGGTCAAGGACCTGGAATGAGCATTAACTGCCAAGTATGTCAATGTCAATTATTCACTGGAAGGCTAAGAAAATGATCACTACATCAGTCCACTAGGTCTATGGGTCCGCTGTAAGCTGGACCTTTAGCAGGACTCCATCAATTACCTGGCCACCATACGCAGCCACTCTAACAGAAGGGGATGATGCTCTAGGTGTCTGGACATCAATTTAGACCCTGTGTCCACAAGTCTTCCAAATGTTTGGCTAATCACTTTTCTCCAGGATGTAGTTATCAAAAGAAATTGCTATCAGACCCTTTGGAAAAATACCTGGGGATTCATTTCTGTGTATACTTGTACAGTTATAAGTCCTTCTTCTTGGTTATTTGGCCACCTCCCAAGTAATGTTTCCATTTCTGAAAACTGGCTCAGTTCCAGAAACTGGACATGGAATCCTGATTTTTTAAAACTGGGACAAGCATCTTGATTTTTTTATTTTCTTCAATTGAGACAGAGTCTTGCTGCGTTGCCCGGGCTGGAATGCAGTGGTACAACCACAGCTCACTGTAACCTTGAACTCCTGGGCTCAAGTGATCCTCCCACCTCAGCTTCCCAAAATGCTAAGATTATAGGCACAGGCCACCGTGCCTGGACTGATTTTTTTTTTTTTTTTGCCAGCTGAGTAGTACCCTCCTTAGCTGCCCATCTATTTTGCCTCCAGGGATGCCATGTTTATTAATCAGTTCTATAACCATACAAGTGAGGCCCCCTTGGCTGCCGCTCAGACCCTGCTGGCTACTATAATTGCAGTCCTCTGACTTCTATCAGCTAAGTGTTGCCTTTGGCTTCTTGGGGGTTTTTTTTTTTTTTTTTGGTCCCCATTATGTCCCAGAATGGCTTCTTTTGTCTTAAGATCCCATCATCCCCAATGCTATCACCCAGCCAAGTTCTGGAACAGCCTTTCTATTGTCATTCTTGCCTACAGAGATGAGCCATCACCGAATATTTTAGTGACATCAGTGCCCCTTTCATCATCCTATGCCTAATGATCTTTATAAATGATGTGTTATTTACACCTTCATGTGGAAAATGATCATCTGGAATGTCTTCTAGACGCACGGAGTATATAAATTTCAGCATGCCACACTCCTTAACCTTTTACTGCCTTCCACCACTGTCTGCCACAGCAATTTTGCCGTTTCAATTTTGCTTACCATGGCCCATGGTTTTTTCCAAGTGTAGTGTTTTAAAAATACATTGGCAAATTTTTTTGATATTCTTCCCTTTAGAAGTTGAAGCCTAATTCCTCTCCCTTTGAATATGGGTGATTTAGTGACTCATTTCTTCCAAATAGGAAGTATCCGCAGTGATGGTATGTAACTTCTGAGAATGGTTCAGAAAAAGGATACAGCTTTCTTTTGTCCTTTGTCTTTAGATTGCCCTTGGAATCCAGCCATCATATTGTGAGGAAGCCTCGGCCACAGGGACTGGCCACGTAGGGGTGGGCTGGCTGACATCCCAATCTGGGCTGCAGCCAATCTCCAGTATCAGCTGTCAGACATTCGAGCAGATGAACCTTCACTCACTCCAACCTCTAGCCTCTGAGCTGCTCCAGCTGAGGCCTCAGACACCATGAATAGAGACAACCAATCCCCACTATGTCTGACCCACAGTAACCTAGAGATAATAAACGATTCTTGTTTTAAGCCACTAAGTGTGGAGTAATTTGTTAGGTAGCAATAGCTATACCACCATTCTAGGAGCTATCCTTGCAGGAAGTCTGCAGCCAGTCTTTGCCAAGGTGTTAAATCACATATTTCAATAAACACATCTAGGCAAGTTTACATTCCAGCTCCCTTCATCAAGCACCCTCATAATCCAGCCCCAAACTCTCCCAGCTCCTGTCAGTACATGTTGGCTGGGTGGTACAGCTTGTTATGGGCTGAAGTGTGTCCCCCTCAAAAGATGCTGAAGCCCCCTAACCCCTGGTAAATCTGAATGTGACATTATTTGGAAATCGGTCTTTGCAGACAGCTTAAGCTAAGATGAGCTCATTGGGGGGGCCCTAATCAGTATGACTGGTGTCCTTCTAAAAAGAGGTCCATGTCTAATGACCTTTGTCAATGATGTGTCATTTATGCCTTCATTTGGAGACACACACACACACAAGATGACCATGTGAATATAAAGGCAGGACTGGGGCAACGCCTCTATAAGCCAAGGAACACCAAAGACTGCCAGCAAACCACCAGAAGCTAGGAGAGAAGCATGAGACAGATTCTCCCTCCCAGCCCCAGAAGGAACCAACCCTGTGAACACTTTGATCTCAGACTCTAGCCTCCATAACTCGGAGACTGCCTAGTTTGTCTGCTAGTTACTGAAACGCCAGCAAATTAGTAACACAGTTCTTTTGAGGGGGAGGGAGCTATAGTCTCTTTTCTATCTCATTGTTTCCAGCTGAATAATGCAAAAGAAACAACCATAAGTATATATCTACTGTGCAGTAAGTGGTGGGAGGGAGGAGGAGGAGTGCCAGGTTAGTAGGAGAGGTGAGCCACCCCGGCGGGCTTCAGGTTCAAGGCAGGCCAGGTGTGATGGCTTACTGGAGCCAAGGAGTTTGAGACAAGCCTGGGCAACATAGCAAGACCTTGCCTCTACAAATAATAAAAAACGTATCTGGGCATGGTGACAGGTGCCTGTAGTCCCAGTTACTTAGCCTAAGGTGGGAGGATCGTTTGAGCCCAGGAAGTTGAGGCTACAGTGAACCATGATCCAGCAACTGCACTCTAGTCGGGGCAACAGAGTGAGACACTGTCTACAAAAAAAAGGTTTAAGGCAGTTTGGGGAGTCAAAATCTTTGAAGGCATCTACACGGGTATCTCCAACCCATGTGTGATGTTTTATTTTTTTTAAAGACAAGGCCTCACTCCTGTTGCCCAGACTGGAGTGCAGTGGTGCAATCACAGCTCACTACAACCCTGACTTCCAGGGCTCAGGTGATCCACTCACCTTAGCCTCCCATGTAGCTGGGACCACAGCCGTGGCCACCATGCCCAGCTAGTTTTTTGTGTTTTCAGTAGAGATGGGGTTTTGTCATGTTGCCCAAGCTGGTCTTGAACTCCTGGACTCAAGCGATCTTCCCGCTTCGGCCTCCCAAAGTGCTGGGATTACAGGTGTGAGCCACTGTGCCCGGCCTCACCTTTTCTTAGCAGGGCTCCAAACTTAGTGGAAGAGGATTGCCTTGTTTGGGTGTTTTCCTATTTTTGGAGTTCAGTCAAACAGGGATGTTAATTCCTGGGTCTGGTTCTTGTCTTTGGCCTGCTGCAGTAAATGATGCTTCTCTGTATGCAACAGGACAGACTTACTGGCTTACAACTGTATGTTGCTTGCCTTCAGCTGACCACTATTCTTAAGAGACTCGGTGGCACTAAGCAATAGCTATCCAATCCCTTTTTCCTTCTTTTTACCACGTTCAGCATATATGAAATGTCTGATACTTCACCCACTCGTGCATTCCATTTCACTACTTCACCCTCCTACTTCACTACTGGTGAGTGAGTGATGCAGCCTCGAATCCCATCTTCTCACCAGCTTTACTGTTGCAGAATGGTTTCTCCAGAAGCAGATGCCGCGACTGAGCGTGGGGTACGAGAACGTCGACATGGTATCTACACCTGTGAAAGGAAGGGGAAGGAAGCAGGACTGGACGGAGGAAGAAGGGTATGCAGGTCCCGCAAAGCTTTGGCCAGCCTCGTGCGGAGCTCTGGAACAAGAACTGCTGAAGTTGGCAGACTCGGACACTCCTGCCCCAGTAACAGGCGGGCAGCACCGGGGCACGGCCACGGCCACGCTCGCACCGTCGGACACACCCCCACACATTCGGGGAGCAGGGCCTTCAGGAGGCGGCGGGGCCCTCTCAGTCTAGCTCCGCCAGGCCCCTCGTCCGTCCTCCCGCCCTCCAAGGTCACCTCGCGGTCCGACATGGCTGTTGGGGCTCCTTCGGGGCCAGCGACGTGTCCTTCTAGGGCTATTTTTTAAAACAAAGCGTGAACACAGGCAAAGGCACGAGAAAGGTGCCTCGCCGCCACCACGGACTGCGCCGCGTTTGCGGTCAACACAGCCCGAAAGCGAAGACAGCGGTCAACGCGGATGCGCCACGCCGCGAGGACCGAGGAGGAACCCCGGGAGGGGCGGGTCGGGGGGAGGACCAAGCGCGGGGCCACCAGCGGCGCCGGGGGGGGTCAGCGCCAACGCCCACGGGCCGGTCATCCCCACGCAGGCGCCTCGGGCCGCAACTCGACGGCCTGGCCCAGTCAGACCAGCCACCCTCAGGCCGGCCCAGCGCAGAGCCTGTCGGGAGCGGCGCTCTCCCGCCTCTCCCAATGGGAGCCCGGAGCGGCATCGACGCGTCTTCGGGCCAATGGAAGCGAGGCTCTGGTGTTGCTGGGCGGGGCCGGGAGGGCAGCCCAAGCGCGAGACCCACTGCGCACGCGCGCTCGCTACCCGCCCTTCCCGCCGCGTACGCGCTCCCGCGTAGGGCCGGCCGGGCGCTCAGGAGCGCGCGGGGCGGCGGCGGCGCGGAGGAGCCATCCGCGCTCGTTCCCGGGCGGGTGCGTTGCCGCTCTGGGCGCGCCCCTGCCCCGCCGCCTCCCGCTCTTCGCCTGGCGGATGTAGGTTGTTGGCCTGAGGGGAGCGACGTAGCCGTGGTGTCCGCTGCCGCCGCCAGGCCCGGTCCGGTTCCAGCCTCTGCCCGGACGCTAGCCGGCCTGGCCATGGCTGACCGCGGGTGCCCGTTGGAGGCGGCGCCGCTGCCTGCAGAGGTGCGGGAGAGCCTGGCTGAGCTGGAGCTGGAGCTGTCTGAAGGTGAGCCGGACCCCGCCCTCAACCCCCACGACCCGCCCTCACCCGGGACCCCCGCGCAGCCCCTCGCTCCGGGACCCCGCCCTTCACCCCCGGGACCCCCACGCGGCCTCTCGCCCCTGGGACCCCTGGCCCTCAACGGAACCCCGGTTCCTGTACCCCGGGACCCCAACCCTCGCCCCGGAGACACCGTTCCTCAACCCCGGGACCCCGCCCCTCACCCGGGACCCCAGCACGGCCACTCCGAGACCCCTGCCCTTCACCCCCGGGATCCCCGCCCCTCACCCCCGGGACCCCAGCGCAGCTCCTCACGCCCGGGACCGCACCCCTCCCCCCGGGACCTCCTGCCCCTCACCCCCGGAACCCCGCGCGGCCCCTCACCCCGGGGACCCCACCCTTCACCCTGGGAGTCCCGCGCTGCCCCTCCGGACCCCCGACCGTCAGCCCCGGCACCCCCGCGCGGCCCCTCAAACCAGGGACTACTGTCCCGCCTCTCATCCAAGGACCCCACCTCCCCCTGGCCCCTCACACCTGGGACCCTTACTCCTCACCCCAGGACCCCAAAACGGCCCTGCACCCAAGACCCCCGACTGGACCCCCACATCGGGACCCCTGCCAAACTTCTGGAGACCTTTCCCTATACCCAGCTGCTCCCCCCATGGGATCCGACCCCAAGGACTGGCTTTGACTAGGTCGTTTGGACAGTTGTGAGAATCTTGAGAGGAATGACCACTTTTGCCCCAAGGTGTGAGCCCTGCTTTTCTAAAGGCTGTAGGTCTGGGCTTGGTCTGGGCTTCACTGGGGTGACTGCGCCCGTTGTCTGCAGGCAGCTACTTCCCTCGGATCTGGGAGCCCTTGCCGCGCACCTGATACTCTAGGAGCTGCACCCTGTGCCTCATTTTATTATCTATAAAGCGGGGTTATAACAGCACTTTCCATTTTGGATTGTTATGAGGCTAAAATACTTTAATGTATGCAAAGCACATAACACTTAGGAGTTGTTAGCCCCCTCATGGAATTTTTTAAAGTAAAAAAAAAAAAGTCCTTTAAATGGTTGGTTGATAAAAATAGACTGGAGTAATCTGGCTTCAGAGGTGGTGGGTGGCATTTCCCATTTGGATGTTATCCCTTTCAAGGCCTGTGTCCTGATATTCCTTTTGGCTGTCATTAGGAAAGAGTTAAGTTCTCCAGTGTCAGAAAGGACTTGCAGTCCTTGAAGAAAAGCATGTAATTGATTCTTACTCTGTTTTTGAGACCTAAATGCATTTTCGGCTTTTAGAATCCATTTTTTTAATAATCTTATTATTCTTAATTTAAGTTTCAGATTGATAACATTTTGCTGGGTCTGGGGTAGTTATTTCTCAAAACATCTAATTTATATGCACTAGCATATAGTTAGTCATTTAATCCTTACCAACCTTAGGGAGGTAGATGCTGTTGTGATCTTGTTTTACATATAATACAACGTGTACTTGCAACTATTTTGAATTCAGCATTCAGCTTTTTAAAAATGTTGTGATATGTGGCATGTTTTTTTTTTTTTGAGATGGAGTCTTGCTCTGTCGCCCAGGCTGGAGTGCAATGATGTGATCTCGGCTCACTGCAACCTCTGCCTCCCAGGTACAAGTGATTCTTCTGCCTCAGCCTCCCGAGTAGCTGGGATGACAGGCGCTTGCCACCATGCTAGGCCAATTTTTGTTTTTTAGTAGAGTCAGGGTATCACCATGTTGACTAGGCTGGTCTCAAACTCCTGACCTCAGGTGATCCGCCTGCCTTGGCCTCCCAAAGTGCTGCCTCGGCCTCCCAAAGTACAGGCATGAGCCACCGTGCCTGGCTTGTGGCACATTTTTAAAAATGGAAGTACAGGCCGAGTACACAGTGGTTCATGCTTGTAATCCCAACACTTTGGGAGGCCACGTTGGCTTGGAGACAGGAGTTCAGAACAGCTTGGGCAACATAGCAAGACTCTGTCTCTACAGTATTAAAAAAAATTAGCTGGACGTGATGGTGTGCACCTGTAGTCCCAGCTACTTGGGAGGCTGAGGCAGGAGGATCACTTGAGCCCTGGAGCACTCCAGCCTGGGCAATAGAACAAGACCCTGTCTCTCACAAAAAAAAAGGAAAAAAAAGGAAAGAAATGGATGAATTTGAGAATTCTTGGTGATTAGATGCTCTTTAGGCAGTCTGGCAAAATTAAATTAGGAATGGGTTTGACAGGATCTACTGTACCGCATTTGTTAAGGCTCTTTAGGGAAAATCACATATATGCGGTTTAGATTCTATAGATTTCAAACATATTTTTGCATATTGCTCCTAATTTCTGCTCCAGTGTATTCGTTATTCCCTCAGTTTTTCGTTGTTTTGTAGTCGTGTTTGAGTGCTTGCTAGGCATGGACAACTGAATCCTTTCCACAAAGAACTTTGTAATTTGTGCGACAGAACACAGGTACTTAAATGAAAGAAATGTTTCCTATCTGTTGGATCCATTTATGCTCTTGTCATCTTAGAGATATGTAGGGGATGTATAGATAAGTAAAGGTATAAGGTTATGTAATGTGGAGAGGAACCTGGAAAAGTAGCGTAAGCTGAGAAAGGGGGTAAACAAAAAAAGTATAAAGCCCAGAAATAGTGGCTCAGTCCTGTTATGTCTGCATATTGGGAGGCCGAGGCAGGAGGATCACTTGAGCCCGGGAGTTTGAGACCAGCCTAGGCAACACAGGGAGACCCTGTCTCTTCCAAAAGGAAAATGAAAATAAATTTGCTGGACATGGTGATGTGTGCCTGTAGTCCCAGCTACTTGAGGGGCTGAGGTGGGAGGATCACTTGACGAGGTTGTGAGCCTTTTTAGTGTCACTGCATTCCAGTCTAGAAGACAGAGTGAGACCTCATCTCAAAAAAAAAAGTGTTAAGGGGAAAAGACAGCAGAGAGCAGAGTAGTAGAGTGGCAGCCGAGGAGGTGGAAGCTCTGGCTTCTTGGCTTCTTTCCCTGCTCCTAGACTGGCCTGACATTTTCTTTTGGACACAATAGGTCAGTGATTACTTAGGCACAGTCACACGTGGACCTGTTTCCAGGGCGCTTCCACAGGTTAATGCTGGCTTCTATAGTTTATATTGTGGTGGTGGTGGGTTTTTTTTTTTTTTTTTTTTGAGACGGAGTCTTGCTCTGTCGCCCAGGCTGGGGTGCAGTGGCCGGATCTCAGCTCACTGCAAGCTCCACCTCCCGGGTTTACGCCATTCTCCCGCCTCAGCCTCCTGAGTAGCTGGGACTACAGGCGCCTGCCACCTCGCCCGGCTAGTTTTTTGTATTTTTTAGTAGAGATGGGGTTTCACCGTGTTAGCCAGGATGGTCTCGATCTCCTGACCTCGTGATCCACCCGTCTCGGCCTCCCAAAGTGCTGGGATTACAGGCTTGAGCCACCGCGCCAGGCCTGTGGTGGTGGTTGACGTGGGGTCTCCCTGTTGGATTTGGAGATGCTTACTGATAAGGACTTTGTTTTAGGCAGATTTTTGGCATTTTCACACAGTGGTGGGCATCTGGTAAAATGTCTGTGAATCTCCAGTGAATTATAATGTCTCTAAACTTGGGTTTAGTCAGCTGTAAAAGGGGGTGAATATCAGCTTTATTGACATTCCAGGTTTACTGTCGAGATTCAGTCAGATAATGTATGTGAAAATGCTTTGAAACTGGTAAGGTGTCTTATATAATTAAAGGGAGATATTAGTAATAAGTTATAGTGCTGAAACAACCAACGTTAGTGTTTCATTGTTATTATTTTTATATATTGTCAAAATAGTATAACTTTTTTATAGCATTCACATTTATCTGAGAAATTGCCTAAAACTTAGAGTTGTCACTGTGCTTGGTAGGTTGGAAGGAAGAAGAAGCTTAACAGTTACAAAGATGCTGTCTTCAACAGAACTGGTAATGAGTGATACCTGAATAATCTAGAAAATCCTGCATGCCTTCCCCTCAGCCTGTTGAAAGTATCCCCTGCCTTTCTTCATACCTCACACCTGGCCTTATTCTCCAACATCCTCACTCATTCTCATCATCAACCATTGTGATTGGCATTGGCCCTGAGGGAAAGTTCTGGTAGAATGCTATGATTTCTTTCTATAGAGCAAGTTTGCTGAATTTCTGTTATAGATTCCCAAGAGGGAAATAAGGCATAGCTGTGTTCGTGCTCCTTAACTTTTCTGGCTGTTTGCCCTCTTGACTCAGGAGTCTGCTTCAGATTAAGATGAAGATGAAGAGTAGAAGTACATGGAACCCGGCCGGGCGCGGTGGCTCAAGCCTGTAATCCCAGCACTTTGGGAGGCCGAGACGGGCGGATCACGAGGTCAGGAGATCAAGACCATCCTGGCTAACATGGTGAAACCCCGTCTCTACTAAAAAATACAAAAAATTAGCTGGGCGAGGTGGCGGGCGCCTGTAGTCCCAGCTACTCGGGAGGCTGAGGCAGGAGAATGGCGTAAACCCAGGAGGCGGAGCTTGCAGTGAGCTGAGATCCAGCCACTGCACTCCAGCCTGGGTGACAGAGTGAGACTCCGTCTCAATTAAAAAAAAAAAAAAAGGTACATGGAACCCCACTCTTCTTAGACCCCCTGCCCCCTCAACCATGAACACATAGAGAAGAATTCTTACATGTGATTCCTGAAAACCTATCAGGATGTTCATTGATGAAAGTGAGATCATTAGAGGCATAACCTTGGTATTTAAAGAAGAATTAATTCCAAAACTTTTGTGCTTTGCCTGTTACTGTAACAAATTACCTTGGACACACCTCACAGCTGATTTTGGCACACCAGTGCTGTACAGTGTCTTGGAGCTATTGCTGTTGAACTGCTTTTAAAACATGGACAGTGGCATTTTGTTCTTTGTTTTAGTGGACTGCAGTGGGTTAGAGAGGAAATTTCTACACAATAGGCTACCTTTATCCCATTCCGATTACTTTACTCTGGTTAATAGGTGTATTCCATAGCTTTAACTTTAGTCTTTTTCT